TCTCCAACTGCTAACCCCCCGAAAGTAGGAATATAAATGTGAAAGTGAGAGTGTAATGAATAAAGACGCCCCGAAGGCAGGAATTTACCAATCGAAGCATATACAGAGTGTTCATGTTCAAATGATGTCGTAAACGTAAAATACAATAAGATTTTAACGCAGAGGTGGTGTACAACAGCGAGTTTTATGCAAATTAAGCGCGTTAAACGTGTGTACGTGGAATCCGCGCGCCTTTTGTACTTCATCCTTAAGGGTATAACCGTCTTACCTATTCCATTAGACCGAATCGCCGGATATACGGATATTAGATTTCCCGAATGCGTCACAATGCGCCTCGGAACACAAAACGTCTTTACTCGTACTCGTACATCCCTCATGTTCATTATTCTTCATGCTACCCTCGATGCTCTTGTATTCATGATGTTTTATTTTATTTTATTTTATCTTATTTTACCTCGTTTTTATATATCCAAAAATGTGTATTTATTTGGCCTGAAGCATCACTCAAACACTCAAAGTTTTTAAAACAAAAGTTTACTCGTATCACACCACGTTTGGAGTTAGAGTTGTTAAAGAGTTTCCGATGAGAACTCGATGCACAGTGGAGTGCAACTGAATGCAGCTGGATTTTACGCTGACGGTTGCACCGAGTGACCTAGTTTTGCAAGCTTTTCCAGCAGTTGCAGGATACTTGTTAATCCGCACAATAAAAATTGTGCATTTGGTTGCCTATATTAAAAGCTATTCTCGTTTTTAATACAAATTTGCTTGGTTAATATTAATTTCCCTGTTGTAGCGTGACAGTTTCATTGCATAATGACGAAAAATATTTTTATTTCTAGCAATTATGAGCTAGAATATTTTTTCAAAAACATGGCATCGATGATAACATTTGAAATATTGTTGTAATTATGATCCCAACATCCCTACAAATTTCAATGCCAATTTCTATACCTTAAGCACGTTTTTTCAGTTAATTTGTTGGGGTACACGTTACGTTACAACAAAATCATTTAAACATAACACAAGTGAATACAACTGAGCGACGCGGAATTCATATTTATATTTCAGGAAATATTCACCGGCATATTTATAAGAGTAATTGAGTTTATAATCAGCGCAACAAAAAATTAAACAGATGCCAATCCACGAAAAATCTCAAAATTTAGTTTTTTTTCTAGTTTCTTGATGAAAATAATTTCATTAATTGAAACCCTATAAACTAATTCCACGATTCTGATATTAATCATATGAAGATACGAGTAAATCCTCTTTTCATTGAATACATGTTCAGTTATTTCATCTATTTGCCTTGAAGATAGTCAACAGTCAACACATAAATGTCAATAATGATCTTTTCGTGTCCTGTGCGCGTATTTTTTTTCGTTTTCGTCTTTCCGCAAATCCCCACAACTCGCCGCCCGACGAAATATTTGCGCACGGCGAAACGTCTAAATTGTTTGCGCTGGGGACCCGTCCCCGGCAAATTTGAATGCACACAAAGCGGATGATGATCATTTGATGTTTTCTTTATACGCACGACGGCGATGCGCAAAGACCGAGGACGCTTCTAATTCGCAATGCCATTTAATCTCCAGAGAGATTCCACATCGGGGCGAGTCACGAGCTTTCTTTCATTTTCTCATCATCCACATCATCGTATCAAATCATATGTGTAGTACGGAGATATATATTAGTCAAATATTAAATTCGTCAAAGCTGAAGTAAAATAACAAAAACGGAATGAGAGTAAACTTTACTGCTTCATTTCATTACGAGTACAGTTTTTTTTCGTTGAGTTTATTTGAAAAATGTGTGTGAAATTGTATTTTCTCAATGAGAGGATGTGTGTATGTGTATATATCAAGTTGTAAACTTCAAAGCGTACAATTTTCTGCCTGCCTGTTTCGAATTTTCATCCCATTTTCTATTTCTATTAGATTTCAGCCTTGGCAAAAATAAAAAGCGTCTTCTTGTCTTATTTTCCACTTTGTTTTCCATTTTTTTCTTCTTGGATGTTTTGCGTTGTGCTCTATTCGTTTATGCCTATTTGCTTGATTTACCTACGCATATCCGGCAAACTATCCCCAATGCTGCGACAGTGCGACATGTTCGCATATTTCGTCAATTTTCCCCGCGGGGAACACAGCGCGTCACAACTTCAAAGATGTTATTCTGTGCAGTGTGTTATTGGATTTGTTGTTTATTGTGTTACGTTTGCTAATAATATATGTACAATATGTGCTAACATTTTCTTTTGCTTGATTTATAAAGTTTCGATTATGTTACGAGGAATATTTAACAATTGAATGCATTTTATTTGATAGTGATTCATGAGTTCACATGAACACGCGGTTTCACTACTACTGATAAATAAATTATGATCAAAACAAACATTTTATGCTGATACTCTAGTTGGGAATTAAATGCGAATAAGTGCATTGCACTGACATCTAGCGTCACGCTAAAGAGTTATATTTAAGTAAAGAGTGCTGTGCGTGAACTCACACGTACATAAGTTGCAGTTTAATGAAACGTGCACTGTATTACTACGCACGCAAAGGCGTATTAATTTTATCAAACAAAGGGTCTAGTATTATTTAATGCAATAATATGTGCAATACTGAATTACTTCACATTAGTATACAGAAATGTCGCTTTAATCATTTTTAAACTTTTTCAAAAATCATTTAGTTTTATTTATGAAACAAATAATATATGTACAAATGATTAGTATTAATTTATTATACAATTTTAATTCAATTCTTCAATTCATCTTTGTTTATGTATTATAGGAGAACTTGGCGTAGAAATGTTGTGTTTACTTGCTTATCTTGTTATCAGAAGATACTAGGCGACGTGAAGTAGAATTTTACCTGTACGATTGTTGCAGTTTAACCCAATGCGAAATCACAACGGCAATAGACAATTCCCTGATAAAAACAACCAGTTTGATGTTAGAACTCAGTTGGGAATTAAATGCAAATAAGTGCATCGTTGCGGCATCTAGTGTACCACTAAATAGTTATATTTAAGTCAGATCTGCGTGTACGCACATATACGTAAGTTGCCAGTAAATCCATCGTGAACTCACTGCACTTAACAACTAAACAATAACAAATGCGACTATCTCTTTTTAACTTATTTCTTGAGCCAGTTTAAGCAAACACAACATTGAATCAATCAAATAAAACGCAACAAAAATTAAATATACAATACAATTAAGTATTTAATGCATTATTGTGTACAATAATTAATTAATATACATTAGTATACGGAAGAACATCAGTGTTGTATTTTAAAGTTATATCCATTTTTTGATATATTTTATGTTGAAAATAATGCCCATCAATGCATAATGAAGTACACTATTTTAATTTTAATACATAATAATAAAACTCAAGTTTCCTAATTTAATACACACTAGAAATATTGTGTTTATTTGCTTATCAGAAGACAGTGCATCCACGAACGAAGTTGTTTATTTCATGCGAATAGACGCTACATCTCACAAATACACGAGTACCGCCGTTGAATTCAATGTATCTTACTTGTGAAATTCAACAATACGAACTCTGATAAAAACAACCAGTTTGATACAAGAACTCAGCCGATAATTAAATGCAAATATGTGCATTGTTGGGACATCTAGTGTCACTCTAGAAAGTTACATTTAAGTAAGATCTGCGTGAACACACACATGCATAAGTTGCCAATAAACCACTGCAATAAACGCAACGTGCACTTACCACACACAAACAAACGATATCAAATACGGGTAATAACGGGTATCATATTACCTCAACGCAGTTTTACTTTTTCTTTAACAAATATATAATTAACGAATAATTATTAATTGATATTATTAGTCAGTATTAGTTTACAGAAATATAGTACATTTGAAATTTTAAAATTACATACATATTTTGGTATATTAAATGTAAATTATATTAATATGCGAATTGAAGTGTAATTTAATTTTCATGCATAATCATAAAACGCAAATTTCTTTATTTATTACGCGTTAGAAATTTTGTGTTTGTTGCTTATTTGAAGATAGTGCGTCAACGAACGAAGTTGTTTATTTCGTGCGAATACATGCTGCATCTCACCCATGCAAGAGTGTATGAATGTGAACTGAATGTAATGTCACTACTACAAGAACAAACTCTCTGGTAGAAACAACGAGTTTGATAAGAGAACTCAGTTGAGAATTAAATGCAAATAAGTGCATTGCTGCGACATCTTGTATCATTCTATGAAGTGTGTTTCATTTTAATAAGATTTGTATGAACGCACACATACATAAGTTTCCATTAAAACACTGCAGTAAACACAACATGCATTCACTACAAATTATAGGATTGACATGAAATACGGGTATTTCTTTTTACCACAAGGCAATATTACTTCTTCCTCTAACAAACAACGCATTGATTCTAACAAATAAAATGCTATGAAAACTCAACTGATAATTTAATGCATTAATATGTTCAATTAATAATTATTTTTATTAATTATCATTCCTATGCGGAAGTACAACACAGGTGAAATTTTAAAGGTACCGTCATATTTGGATATATTTTATATATGTAATAATGTAGGGATATACCTATAAATTGCGAATTGAAGTATATATTTTAATTTTCATGCACAATTACAAAATACAAGTTTATTTATTACGCGTTAGAAATATTGTGTTTATATTTCGTGCGAATAGACGCTCATACACGAGTGTATGAATGAGAACGAAACGTAATCTCACTACTACACGAACATCTCTATCGAAAAACAACAAGTTTACTGCGAAGAACTCAGATGAGAATTAAATGCAAATAAGTGCATCGCTGCGACATCCAGTGTCACTCCATAGAGTTACTTTTAAGTAAGATGTGCTGAACTCGCTCATACCAGAGTTGTGCTGTATGGCTATTTCTTTTTAACCGGTCTTACACTTACTTCTTGCAATAACAAACACCACATTGCTTCTAACAAATAAAATGCAACGAAAACTGAACTAAGTATTTAATGCACGAATATGTACAATAATTAATTATTACTCATTAGTAGACGGAAGAACAACATCAGTGTTGTATTTATTTAAAGTTACATCAATTTTTGGATATATTTTATGTTGGAAATAGTGTTCATATTAACTGTAAATTGAAATATAATATTTTAATTGTCATACATAATCATAAAACACAAGTTTCTTGATTTATTACGCGTTAGAAATATTGTGTTTACTTGCTTATCGGAAGACAGTGCGTCAACGAACGAAGTTGTTTATTTCGTGCGAATAGACGCTGCATCTCACTTATACACAAGTGTATGAATGCGAACTCATTGTAATCTCACCACACCACTACACGAGCAACTGTTTAGTAAAAACAACGAGTTAACTGCAAAGAACTCAGATGTGAATTTAATGCAAAGAAGTGCATCGTTGCGACATCTAGGCATTTACTGGAGAGTCAAACTTAAGTGAGGTGAGTGAGTAAGAGTAAGGTGATTGTTGCGCGTTCTCTCGCACGCTCGCACTTATTGCTTAAATACACAAATACGGCTGCTTCTTTTTAACATAATGCAGTGGTACTTTTACTTCTAAGAACAACCACAATGATCTTCACACATAAAGTGATGAGATTAATACTCTCATCACATTCATAATTTTGTGCATTAATTGGATGGAAATTTCGATGCTCTTGGAAATTAGTGGGGAATTTATATTATTTCCGTGTGGTGAATTCAAACATCTCATACTAAAATAAATACCAATAATTTTCATTTTTGCAGAATTCATAATCCATTGTTAATATATTTATTATTAATAATTGTTAATATTTATTTAAATTTTAGGCGCTAACGCAAATAAAATTGTAATTCAATAACGTAAAATTTAAATAAATATTATACAAATAAAATTTTTATGCATTTTGGTATTATTTATGGACGAAATAATATTTATTCAGAAACAAATTGAAGAATAATTGAATTAATTTTCTATAAAATATAATAATTCAATTGTGTTTATTTATTATACTGAATTTAGCATGTAAATATTGTGTTGAGCTGCTTATCTGAGTATCAGAGGATAGATCGAAGCGAAGCCGAATTTTACGTGCGATAGAAGCGTTTCACATGTAAACGACTGTTGCAGTTTAAAATTGTGATTTTTTCGAAGTTCGCCATTTTAAATGAATATTTTTCTTGTGTAAAAAAAAACTTCAATTAATTTGACAACAACTCCCACTAATTCCGGAGTGAGTCAATGTTATTTTATATATTTTTAAATTTAATAAAAAAAAATTACGTCCCACAAATGACAATTTTCTACTTTCAAAAAAAAAAAATCTAATAAACGTTTCTCAAAGGGTAGAAAAAAATAGAAAAGTTTCAGTTAAATCAAAAAGGGTCGGGTTCAAAAGTGGTTGATTTGGCATGGAATACCTCATACATTAATTGCGAATTGAAGTCCTATAATATTTTAATTTTCATGCATAATCATAAAACGCATTTTTTATTTATTACGCCATAAAAATATTGTGTTTATCTGCTTATCAGTAGTGGTTTATTTTGTGCGAATAGACGCTACATCTCTCTTATACCTACACGAGTGCATAAATGTAAACTCAATGTAATCGCACTACTACACAAACAAATCTCTAGTAAACAACGAGTTTAGTGCGGGGAACAAATAAATGCAAATAAGTGCATGGTTGCGACATCTAGGGATTTACTGAAGAGTAAAGCTTAAGTGGGGTCAGTGAGTAAGGCGTTTGTTGCGCGTTCTCTCGCACGCATGCATGTATTCCATAAATGCACAATACTAAATATGGTTGTCTCTTATTAACACAATGCAGTTATACTTCTGCTTCTAAGAACTACCTCATTGATTCTTACACACAAAGTGATGCTAGAATTAAATAATTAATAATTGCGTGTATTAATTGGAGGAAAAATTCGACACTCTTGGAAATTTGTGGAAAATTTGTAAGATTTTCCTTTAGTGGATTTCTACATTACATATTAAAAAAAAACACAAATAATTTTTTCCACAGAATTGGTATTATTTATGTACCAAATTATATATAATATTTAATAAAAAATAATTGAGGAATAATTGTATTAACTTCCTATAAAATAGTATAATTAAATTGTGTTCATTTATTATACGAAATTCTGCATGTATATGAGCCGCTTATTTTGAAAGTGGCCTAACTCCATTTATCTTCAAATCGAGATATTGAAAGTTTTGCGTTTCAATGAATTTAAAAATATACGTATAAGATACAAAGAAGTCATACTGCTTAAGCGTATCTAAGGATGTTAAATTTAAAGTTCCAGTTAAAATAGTGGCAATTATTAAGTAAATAACGTGCGTTTCCTTATCAAGAATGGAGTTGGGCCACTTTCAAAATTAACAGCCAGATTCATTATAAAATTTGAAGATGCCCAAGTCCATTCAACATAATTTAAGATGTTTCAAATTGAAGAAAAAAAACGTCTTCGTTTCACAGACAGCTTCGTGAAGTAATACATTTTGTTTGTTAAAATCTGCCAAACCCCAAAACTTCTCAAAACTGTTCTTTATTTCTTCTTCATTATAATTTTTTGTGCACGCATTCCGACAACCACAATCTTTGTTACGAAATTTTTTTCATGAACAATACTTCCGGTTTAACTGCAATATCTTTTTCCTGAATTCCGTTTTATCTTTCGCACTTTTTGGATATATGGTGCATCAATCTTTTCTCCATTGTTATTTGAATCTTCATCCTCTGACGAGGAATATTGTTTTATAACTCTTTTTCTTATTCGCTTTTTTTAAATTATTAATTATTACTATTTCTTTTTCACTATCTGAACTAAGTGGTCTTCTTCGGTTCTTCCTCATGGGTGCAATAATTTCTATAATTTAATATTAAATTTTAAGTTTTATATTAATTAAACGTACAGGTTAATTAACTAACGCAATTGTCCCAAAAATGAGGTGGACTTGTAAATACTAATTAATTGAAATTACCTTCATCGCTGCTTTCCGTTATTATCAATAGTAAATACCTTGATGTAACTATAAATGGAGTTAGGCCACTTTCAAACCACACGGGTCAGTTATTCAATTAATTCGGAAAACCTATGTGTAAAAAATGTACCGTATTTTCTCTGAATATAAGCAATCTGACGTGTGTCACTGATAAATAACATGAAGTTGTACATGTAACCATGATAACCGGTAAAAAATTGAAAAACGGAGTTAGGTCACTTTCAAAATAAACGGCTCATATATTACGTTGATCTGCTTATCTGAATATGACAAGGTAGAACATCGAAGCGAAGTTGAATTTTACGTGTGGTAGAAGCGTGTGCCTACATGTACACGACTGTTGTAGTTTAACTCATTGCAAAGTCACTACTACACAAACAACGTATCCACAAAAACAACCAGTTTGATACGAGAGTAGAGTTGGGGATTAAATGCAAATAAGTGCATCGCTGCGGCATCTAGCGTCACACTAAAGAGTTACATTTAAGTAAAGTGCGCGTATACACCTAAAAACTTAATACGGAATACGGTCTCTTTTTAACTCAAGCCAGTCGTACTTCTTCTTCCTCTAACAAACACAGCGTTGATAATAACAAGCAATGTGATACTAGCTAAGAATGTGTATAATGCATTAAATTATGCTTTAATCAATTAATACCTAATAATATTTAATTTATATTGTTAACATGAATTATGAATTCAAAAACGAAAACAAAGTCAATCAATTATTTCATACTATTAAATTGAAATGCAACTCTGATTAATCTTCAAAGTAATTTTACTGGTAATGAACCAAATAATAATTCATAGAGAAATTAATGAATAATAGTATAAATTTGCTTCACAATCGTAAAACACAAGTTTGTTTATTTATTACACGCTAGAGGTATTGTGTATATCTGCTTATCAGAAGACAGTGCGTCAACGAACGATGCTGTTTATTTCGTGCAAATAAATCTTGCATCTCGCACGTACACGATTCTTGCCGTTGAACTCAATCTAATCTCCCTACACATGAACAAAGACCAGTAAAAACAACCAGTTTATTGCGAGAACTGCGAGCTGAGAATTAAATGCAAATAAGTGCATCGCTGGGACATCTCTGTTTAATTCGAAGAACTATGTATAATTTTATTTAGTTTTACTTTGGGAAAATTATTTATATTTTAATTTTGTGATGGTTAACAGGTGGTTAACAGTATACTGGCATTTTCCAAACTGTTAATACTCTAACACAACACAAAATTAAAATGGAAATAAACTAAACTCTTTCATAAAACTCACATTATTTAAGCAATTCCAACAAAAACTTCGTTTTTCAACAAATCTTTCCGTTTTATCTTTTGACGTGATAACGTCTTTAAAATCGTTTTAGTCGGGTGACATGTTCAGAAACTTGTGTCACGAGGCCGATCGCAGGTATAACGAGAGAGAGAGAGACGGACCGATCTCCCGTCTCATCTCGAGCGCTGCCAGTCATTCCGTGAAATCCACACGAGCGGAGGCAGGCATAGCGTTCGAGTGAGTGGACCGATCTTCCGTCTCTCTCACTCTAGCGGCATACAAACGAATGGAGATTTTCTCGTGCGGTTAAGTTTTCGTTGAATATTTAACAGTGAAACAAAATGTGAAGTGCAAGTGAAGTGTTACCAGGGGCGTAGCTACCGCCGTATTTGCCGTATCAATTATACGGGGCCCCCGGGCCACGGGGGCCCCCAAAGTGTGTAAAGAAAAACCTTTACCTCCATATAAGGGCCTCCAAAAAAAATTTATACGGGGCCCCGACAAGGCACGCTACGCCGCTGAGTGTTACAACAATTGCAACAAAAAAAACTTATATCACCAATAAGACGTTATCACGTAAACATCTCGATCGTAAACCTACTTTACAAACAACCATTTTTTTTTCATAAAGTTAAAACTTACGAACTTTCATTCTTATTTATTCATATTTTCGACATGAAACCAGAAGACTTAAACCCCATGTTTGTACAAACTTTCCGCCACACGGAAATCTTACAAATTCCCCACTAATTTCCAGCCGTGTCGAAATTTCCCTCCATGCGAAATTTCTTATTACGTCGAGATAGTTTCGCCGCGCGGCGTAATTATTAATTACTATGCTAATTATAAATTAATTAGTAATTTGATGACTGATATAAACTACAGACTGCACAGTCTTCATAGTCTCTCGTCTCGCATCACTAGATCAACACTACATTTTCAATTCAGCTTTCTATTAAAATAATACTTCATTAGGATGCGTCATGAAACAATGAAAATTGTCTGCGAATATAAATCACTTCTACCTACAAAACAGAATATTTGCGCATCGAAATTAATTAGTATTTTTAACGTGTACACCACTGATTTCGACTGAAGTTTTATTTCTATTTTCGTAGTTACAAGTGTTCCTGACGACGCAAAAACGCAAAAAGACGAACGAAGCGAAACGTGCGCGGAATTGTAAAACACCGGGTTTTTCCCGATGTGCAGTTTTTATTAATCGGATTGCGATGAGGTGTAATTTAATTAAGCGCATGGGGGCGCCTAACTGGCGGCCGGAAAAGTGTTAAAAGCACATCATCTATAATAATATAACGCGCGTCACGTACGAGAAGATTTCCTCACGAGTATGCTCAGAATATTAAATTTTATACTAGCCTACTCAAGTTGAATATAATCACCGCTAGATGTCACTATTTGAAATATTAAAAATTAAATTCTTGCAATATTTCTAATATCATGACAAATGAACTTGTCTCAAGTATCCATAGGGGTGTATGAGTAATGCATAAATATTTAGACTGTAAAATCTAGAATGCATCCTGTCATGCGCCACCCCGGGGTGGGTGCGCATTAAACGCTCATTATATGCATGGCGCACTCGCTGATGGACTCGCCATAAATCGGTCATAAATCACATTGAAACAACGACGCACCAACAGGCTATACATATCATATGTTTATACATATACAGTGTGTTTGTCATTTTCATCGGGGTAATATTGTGTTTTTATTCTGGGAAATTGTGGTGATTGAGGGTTGTGGACATAGTGTATGTGTGTGTTTGACAGTTGAGCCGGTTGAGCTATTGAGCTCAAACAACTGTTACGTTGCAGGCGTCACATATCGAAGGATAGGAGAGATGGAGGACGTGTAGCAGTGTAGCACAATCATTGAAATGATTGATGATTCCACAATTTCGTCGATTTCATCCTGGGCGTGCATGTGTCACGCTGTCATGACCTTAATCTGTGTACATTACGTCGTGGGGATATTAAGAGTTTATTTTTGAACATTTAGGATAAAATTTTTATAGTTTTTGAAGCAAAACACTCTGTAGATTATGAGTTTTAGGTTTTATCAGGAATTATATTCACAGGAAAAGTTTTCAGATAGTTTTTGACTAAAAACTTCTCAAAAGTAAATTTTAGGCTAATTTTGGGAAACGCCTTGTATCTCCTGCTCTTTCTTTGTTAAAATTTGCTGGGATTTTCATAATTTTATAGCTAAAAAGGTGTTTTATCTGTAAATGTCATTTTAAACCCTCTGAAACTACTTAAAATAATGTTTTTATTAATTTTAAGCAAATTTAAGTATATTTTGCATAACACTCTGTATCTTCTGCTCTTTTTTCATCAAAATTTAGTATTTTTTCATAATTTCATCAAAAAATCCCTTAAAAGTAATTTTAAAGTATAATTTTTAAAACACCCTGTATCTCCTGTCTTTTCTGTTCAAATTTAGTTCTATTTTCGTAAATTTATATCTGAAAACTTGCTGCATGTTTTAATAATACTTTTACACCTCCTAAAACTAATAATACTACTTTACCTTTTACTTTATTTATTTATTTTAAATTTTCTTTCAAGATTAAACTTTGTCGCCCAAAATTTACAGCTCTCCGCATTCTGTCGCTTGCCACGTATGAAAGCAATTTGTACAAACATATGCAAATGTTGGCATCGCGCCGCGCGTTCCCCATTTGCATCTGGCAGGTCTCCACAATTTGCTTATCGCGCGACGCGCGCCTCATAATAAATAGTTAAAAGCAATTTCCTTAGTGGCGGCGTCGCGACGCCCAAATGAAAATGCAACTTAGCAACAAGTTTCTCTCGCCGCTCTCATTCATCCTCTCAATCCGCACACACTTCGGGCGCGAGTAGAGGAATCGTAGAAACACAGTCACAGTCACGCGCGCCCGGCGAAGGGTTGGAAAGTTACGCGAGACAAAATCCCCAAAGGCGTTAAATAAAGATGCGGAACAAGTAAACCGTTAGAAACACAAACTTTAGAAGATCTTATGCGTTAAAAGTGTGTTTATTCCAAGTTTTGTTTCGGGAACACTCTGTATACGTATGAATTACTAGCCACTACCACTATGGCTGTGATAAGTAAGAAGGGTTTTGTCTTCTCGTATGGTTTACGATGTCGCACTGCACCAACCACGAGTCCCTCGACCACACAAACAATCCTCTTCTCTTTCTGTCGGAATAAACATGAATTTTCACTATTTCACAAATAATAAAATTAAAATATGTTTTTATAACCTATATTATCCTAATATAACCTATAAATTTTATTTTTTTGTGTAGATGGCGTTAGTTTTGCGTTTAAAAACATTTTTGCCGGTTTTTTGGTTTAACCCTTTATGTTTCGCTTGAACTAGCGTGAGCTTAAGACTGCAAACTGCAATCGTAAGCACTTTCAAGATATCCAGAGATAATAATGTACTCGTACTCCTCTAAAGCCGTTAGAATCTCGCAAGGCGTTGGAAAATCTACATTTTCCGGCTTCCACTGCGCAATTTTCGAAAAATATTCACATTGTCTCATTGTCTGTATTGCTTTCCCGACGCCAAGTTTATTGTTCTTCGATCGGAGCACGAAATGAAATTCAATGAATTGCAACCGATGCATTAACGATGAGTTACATTTATTGTCCATGTGAGCACCTAAGCGTGAAATTACATTTTAATCACATTTATCACAACTGTTTGATTTTATTCTTGAGTGTAGTTTGAATTTTCGGCGGTTTAAAAATTCCAATCACATTTCCGCCATTCGGCGCATCCATCGGCGTGCACGTCCGCAAAAGCTTGCGAATGTGCTTTACGACATTTCATATTATTTATGCGCTCGTTCTGCGGCGAGTTTAACTGCACGAGATGTCGCGATTCGACGATTTGATTTCGCGCAAAAACGTCAAACGTTATTATTGTCGTATAACGATACGACTACCGTGACTATATACATATACGAGTATATTCCTGTATGTATGTGAAGGTTTCTTGTGCGCAAAGTTTGCCTTCATCGGATCGGGTTATTCGTTCGTAATAAAAACGTTACGCTCGCGACGTTATAAGACGGGCATTATGCCTGATTTAAGCCGATTCGAAGCGCACATACCACCTTTATACCCTCCTCCTCCTCCTCTCCCTGCATGATTTTATATTATACGAGCGCGGCGTGCTCGGTTTTATGGGTCCAGACAGAATAATTCAGCTTCCGTTCGTGTATCGCCCACACGTTTACAGCGCCATGTTGGCCGCCATCTTACTGCCAACAAGCGAAAGGTGCTAAGTTTTATTTTACGCTCGCATTGTTCAAGTCACGCGCCACATAATAACCAGCATGCTTCCGATGCACAAAATATTTCGGTTTTAATGTTGGGGAAATAAAAATAAAAGCGAAAGCCCAGCGCGTAAAAATCGTTTTATGGTTCGTATTTAGAAGATTAATTGCGCCCGCGTCGGCTTAAGCAATCAACCTGACGGTCAAGGACATAAAATTTACTTTCGCTGTGGGATTACGTTGATGAAATCACCCTGGCGGACATTTTGTGTGCTTAAATACAACGATTACTTGTATGGAAATACATATAATTGTAATAATCATCTGCATATTATACTCTCATAATATTATAACAGTTTTTTTTGTCTTTAGAGTGCATTTTAAATATTTATATATAATTTGCACGTTTTTTTTTCTTTCAATTTTCAACAACATATCGATTACATTTGTTTTGTAATACAAGGAAGTGTGATAATTACAATTTACAAAAAGCAATGATGCTTCTGTGACATTTTTCTGCTTTTCTTGTACTTCTTGTACCTGATTTTCGATAATTTCTTTCATAATTTTATAATTTATATGTATAACAATGGCACATTGATACTTTTTTTTACATGAACTACACACTACAACTGGGAAAATCGCTCTTTGTGAATTTACAATATTACATCATTATTAAAACATCTCATTTGTCTCACTCACGGAACATTTTTTACGAATATCAACTTCAACTTGATCTCCTGCTTCTTCATCATCTAAAATTGGGAAAATATATTATATATACGCTTTGTAGAGCTCTACATATTCAATAACAGTTAATTGTAGTAACAAGGCTGCTTAGAATTAATACTATTTCAGTTTACTATCTGTTATAAATCGTTTTTTAGGTTGTAATATTTCAAACTTCGAACGATTGCGTTCGAATATTGGTTGTAGGCCATTAAGTTTCGCATCTCCGAACGTTCACAACTTCACAATTCACAGCTGTGCGGAGCGTTTTGATTAAAATTCGTTTCCACATCTCCACATTAAAAGCAATTGCAAGTACATTTACATTGGCATAAAATCCGTTTACATTTTACACATGTTTTGAGGCAGTTCTCCCATTTTTTACTCCCTTTTAACTTCCATCATACACGAAGGAATTGAATGGCAACTATAATATAATAACTACACTAAATTAATCATAATTTCGTACATGTCTAAATATAAATAGTAACACAAATAAAAGTGAATCATTTTTCGTATAAATTTAAATTTTATCACATAATTAATTCAATTATTCAAACAAAAGTATCGATTAGAAAAAGATATATACAAAAATATGCGCTATAAACAATATTAACATTCAACTTGCATTAATTACTGTATTTTGTGTTTGTTTTTGTGCGGAGTGATAAATATTGACTATCTAAATGAATTCCTGGCAAGATTAACACGAATAAATTAAGTTTTCTGTGTAAAATAACTGATTCTACTTCTATTTCATGGAAGATTTGACTCTAGACTGGCTAACTCAACGAATTATTGCACACTACGCAAAATAACCTGTTTACAATTCCATTGTTACAATTTGTTTAGAATTAATTGACCTGTGTTGTGTTGTCTTGCGGGTTTGTTAGTTATTTTATTTATTTCTGGGATTACACGATTGACTATATCAGTTTAGACTCGTCGCAATGCTCGCAATACTCAATCATCTCCGTTTTTCAAAGCGTCAAACATCCCCTCGACTGAATGCAACAAACAACAGCATCGACATGAACACTGTCTCAATGTGTCCACGCCGCAACAGTGCAATCAAGAGATTAAATCCTGACCGGCCAGTGTTAGGATGAAATTTGTACGCGTTTCAACGCTTTGTCCTTGAACCGGCGCTTCGCAAGATCCGACCCAGCGACTGGTCCAAGATTGGCGACTTTCGGTGATGTTGCAATCGCGTGGAAAGTCGCTGCCACTGCCTGTTTTAATTCAGCTTTCGTGCTGTTACCGTTGTTGTTTTGATAGGCAAGCGCAGTCGCATCTTGAATATGGTAAAGTTTACCTTTCACCCATGGATTGTTAGTGAGTTGCATGGCCGTGGGGCGGCGTTGGGGAGATATGTGCAACATATCCGAGACTAAATCTTTCGCCGCTTGCGAGATACCTGACCAAACTCGATCGTTGAAGTTGAGTTTGCCACAACTGATGCGTTGTAGGATTTGCGTCGGCGTGTCATTGGGTTTCGTGCTAAACGGACTTTTGCCCGAGAGCAGGATGTAGAGGATGATGCCTAATGACCAAATGTCACACGCAGCGTCATATCCTTGTCTTTTGAGGACTTCAGGCGCGACGTAGTTCGCTGTATAGCACGGCGTCATTAACAAACCATTGTCCGCACGCAATTGTTTCGCGAATCCCATATCACAAATGGTCATACTAGCCGGTGTTCTATCCTCGGATGAGAATAGAATATTCTCGGGTTTTAAATCGCGATGAACCACGCCGTTTTCATGCAGGAATGCCAGAGTTAACGCCAGGGTTTGTAAAATAGCAGCTGCTTCGGATTCTTTGACGTGTACTTTAGCGAAAATGTAATCGATCAAGTCACCGCCTTTGAGGTATTCAGTAACTAGGTAAACCTTCGTGGAATCTTCATAGACTCCTTTCAGGGAAACAATATTCGGATGATGTCCGTATCTCAAGAGGACTTCGACTTCCTCTCGCCAATCGCAATTATTAGTTTTTCGGATTATCTTTACTGCAAACTGCTGCCCAGTGGATTTGTGTTTGCACAGTTTGCAAACACTATAACTCCCTTGGCCCACATCCCCGAGGACTTCATATTCATCCAGGAAATTCGCCGCGTTTGTCCGCATAGGTCGAATTGGTACCTCGTCTCGTTTCTGTGATGGTTTACAGTTTGGCCCTTCGAGTAAACAAGGCGCGATGAAACTGAACCCTCTGAACAATTCATGCGCGTTCGCAGATGCGGGCACCCCTGGTGAATCTCGGGGAGTTTTACACGTGAATTCTGAATCGAAGTATGCGTCATCAGGACCTGAGACTGCTGGTTTGAACGGAGGTCGTATTCGTTTCTGAAGTAGAGCGTTCCAATCAATTGTAGCGAAGAACTCATGCGATTTCATATCATCCACACCACCCTGGCCTGCGCCTAGGCGATTCGCAGGATTGCGTTTGAATAACGCTCGGAGGAGACTTTGAGCTTCCGAGCTAAGATTCGCGGGCATTCCGAGTTTGGCTTTGAGGATCTGAGTCATGGTGTCTTTGCGGTCGGAGCCTTGGAATGGAAGGCCTCCGGTGAGCATTTCGAACATGAGCACACCAAACGACCACCAATCCGCTGCGAAGGAGTGGCCTTTGCGGGAGACTACTTCCGGTGCCATATATTCAATCTTAAAAGATAAATATTTTATTTTTTTTATGAAAATGTGAAAATTGACTTACAGTGCCACAAAAACTGTAGGCTTTGTCTTCTTCAAGAGGTAATTTCGAGAGGCCAAAGTCAGTGAGGGCGATATGTCCATCCGAATCAAGCAAAACATTCTCCGGCTTCAAATCGCGATAGATTATCCCCAGCGAATGCAGATGGTTGAGCGCCAAGGCCAACTCAGCCAAGTAGAACTTCACGTCCTCCTCGGTGAACATAACCTAGTTTCAAACAATAACAAATTATGAAAACATTAAACAATCGAGCACTTAGTATACACACTGGCTATTGTAAACGCATGGCTTGAATTACGCCGCGTGCACTTTACATCAACAACATGACATTTTACTGGAAAAATATACTACGGCGCGTATAAACATGTTTTTTACCTCTTTGCTGAGACGCGAAAATAAATCCCCACCGCGTAGGAAATCAAGAATGAGGTAGAGTTTTCCAGTCGTCTGGAAGGCGTAGTGTAACTTAACGATGAACGGATGTTCAACATCAACCAGAATATTGCGCTCCATTTTCGTGCGATGGCGGTCACGCACCTTGAGCGTCGCTTTCTTCAGCACCTTCATCGCGTACAGCGTGCCGCCATCATTACCCACCACTTTTCGGACGAGGAATACCTTGCCAAAGGATCCCTCGCCGAGAACTTTGAGTAGTTCGAATTGTGATGGGTCGGCTTTATCATGTCCATCTCTAACAACCTAAAAATTTAAGACATTAGCACATAAAAAAACAAAATGGCGTTTTTTAAAGTTTCTAACCTCTCCAAGCTCAATTTCATGATCACCTTCGGCTGGCCCTTCGTCCAATCCGGCATTGTCATCGCCATTGTCAGACTGTAAACAATTTTAAAGGTTAGCCAAGCAAGGTTAAGTCACTTTCCAAGGTGCATTCACACTAATCGACAAGCATTAGTCACATACGTGTACACACGTGTACGTTTATTTTATTGGTGCGTCCTTTGTGAACCATTGTCTAGTCTAATTCGCTACAATAACCAAACTAGAAGTTAACTTAGCTATTAATTAGCAGTTTTAAGTAAAGGCAATACAAAAGCGTCAATTTTAATTAAATTTGCAGCTAAGTCATGTGATTGTGCCCCTTTTTCTATCTATTAGTTTATAGTAATTATAAGTAAATATCAAAAATCAACACTTGCATAATATTCTGATCAATTATTGTTATTCACATGCAGAAAACTATCTAAAACTAAATTATCTAAACGTGCAAACTGATGATAATGCATACAAACTGTATTTTATGCTCAAAATTTATTTAATTTGTTTAAAAAATCTTATCTTAGAGAAGTGAATGCAATAAAAAATATGATTTACGTACAGACACTATTCTTAGGGACCTGGACAATCCAATGGCTGCAAAATGAATAACAAACCGATTACAGTAAAAACAACTCAGTACAAATAAACCAACAGCTAGAGAAATGCGCCAAATTATGCAGTAAATGTATATTAAGTCAATAAACACGCCAAAAATTTGAAGAATCAAAGAATTGAAGAACAAAAAACATCGCCAAGTTACACACTCAAATGAGAATATAATAATTATAAAAAATAAGTTCGAAAAGTATGAAAAGTTTGGAGATAATCACGTTTAATCGCCTATAAAAACAAATCTCGTAAGTTGTTTGGTGGAGGCGCCCGACGACAAGTTTTCATGTTTTTCGCGTGCGAAGGTCCCGACACTCCTGACGCGCGTCTGACCCTGGCCTCGCGGGCGCTTCTTGGCGGTCACGTACTGCAGAGCAATTTCACGATTGCCAATAAACTAAAATTTATATTTCGCGGCGTAATTCGATTCGAAATCAATATATATTCACAATTGTGCGCAGATATATTTGCATTCGATTAATTGGATATCGGATTTGCGCTGCGCCACAAACAAATCCTTGGGTCATTTGTACCGCACACGCGCTTACTTATAATTCCTCAATATCGATTTAACTCGACCACAAACAATACGCGAAAATTAGGTTTTAATCGCTTTTTGTCGACTTGTAAAGTCAACTTGTGCAATTAATCAAAGTGTTTGCAGGATTTCTCAACAAATCACGTGATTACAAAGTGAAAATCACATCAATCACAAGATTTTTGTTTTGTTTATGTTTATAATTGTAATTTAATCTTTGGATTTTCTCGAAAATAATGATGATAAAATAAAAATCTTAATGAATAATGAAGAGGGTGGAAAGTAATCCGACCCTTGTGACGACTTTTTATGCAACTCAATTATTTATTCTGTGGGCGGACGTCGCCCACGTATTTATTTTCAGCGATGAAAATACAGAGCCACCAGCTTCCGAGGCTTGTAACGACGCCGTCGACACCACATCGGCGATCATGTCTGTCTGCCTGGCGGCGGCGATGGTGAAGAGCGTCGTGCGTCACTGGAGATTATGTACTGTATTATATTTCAGCGAGTCCATTGTCACTTGCATAAATGTATCATGTGTGCGAATTGTGTAAATTGCCAGATATTGATTAACAACACACGGCGAATATTGAATATTCAATGAATTACGCAATTTAAACACACAAAAAATAAAAAATAAAATTAAGCAGCTTCAAAGTCAAGACGTAGTAAAAGATTCATGTTTAATGTTTGCTTTGATGTCTGCTTAACGTCTTCTCCTATTAAAGATAAAATTACTTTTACAGGTAATTATGCTAAAACTAGTAGAACCCGTATATTGCTTTATACATTCGTTCCTAGTCACATTAAACTCAAAAGATAAAAGCAACTTTCACATATCCCAATTAAAATCACCTAGCAACTGCAAAAATCATGACTTTTTTGGTTGAAAATGTCAACCTCTGAGTAAGATTTTTGAAGTTTTTCGGTTTTTCAATGCAGTGTGGTAGACTTTATCTTATTTTTCATCATGACTTTCATCATACATTTCTACACCCGGTGTCAAACCATCATTTTACAATGGTTTCATGATGGTACCCTCTTCTCGCGTCTTTTCATCTGGCTGCTAGCCGTAAATATACTGGTATACTGCATTTATATGATTCTGCGTCACCTAGTGACCATCTTTTTGCTCCGCTGGCCCGAATGGTGGCAGATATTCAAAGGACGCGACTACATCTACAACCTGGAGGAGTGCCCGATTTGTTTCCAGGACTTTTGTGATCCGATACGCCTGCCCTGCGGGCATGTCAACTGTTTGAAGTGTATTACTGATTACTGTCGACATATGCAGCACTGCGGTGGGATTTTAAGGTGTTCTCTGTGTCGCGCACCGATCAGAGATATTCTATATCTCGAGGTATGGCTGTGTTTTGTGTAAATATTGTGTTTTAATCGAGGTTTTGCGTAGGGTTATACGCCGTCGACGCTTCCCAATGGGCAAACAACGAAAAAACTCAGCAAACTGCGCAGGTTTATCGAGAACCCGAGGTATACCTTTCCGTGGATCAATCGCATCAACGGCTTGTGCTGGGTAATCTGTTTTATACTCGTCGTCTACTACAGCTGCAATTTTTATTAGCACACAGGAAGAAACATACTGAAACTGCGATAAATATACTCGTTTGTATTTTTAAATTATGAGTTTTTAAGTTTAAGGTGGGAAAAATTACTTTTTAAGAGATTTCCTGATTGAAATTCAACAAAATTTTATTAAGTTTTACTACAAAATGGCGTCAAATCATAAAATAGACAATATACAGACAAAAATAACATATTTCTGACAAAATATTTAGTCAACTGGAGCAGAAACTTGATAATTTTTAATTTTAAATATAAAAAAGTGCTTTAAATGTTTTTCCTGATTGAAACTCTTCAAAATTTATTGAATTCTTCTACAAAATGGCATCAAATCAAGAAATAACAATCAATCAATCAAGAAACAGATGAAATTAACACATTTAAAGACATTTCTGACAAAATATTGGGTGAAATGGAGCGCAGAAACTTGATAATTTTCTGTTTTTTGTTAGGAAAAATGACTGTGAAAGGTATTTCCTGATTTAAACTCGTCAAAATATTTGATTTTGATAAGATAATCACTTATCTAATAGAAAATTTACCTAGTTATACTATAAAATGACGTTGAATCAAAAAATAGTCAATATACAAATGAAAATAACACATTCAAAGACATTCCGGACAAAATATGCAGTCAACTGAAGCAGAAACTTGATAAATACGTATTAAATACACAAATATTGTTGTGAATGGAGGTACGATAAACGATAAAGCCAACCACAACGCGAATTTGTGTAAACCACAAGTTATCAATGAACTTTTGTTTAACTTATAAACTGTTTTCGGGCGTTTTCAAACGCTGATACAATATTTAAACTGCACACAATCACTCTGCGCGACTGAAATAAATTAATTTCCAAAGTCGACACAAACAACTTGTGTAATTACCGTTTTCCAAGGGCAAAATTCAAATTATGAATAAGATGACTTTTAAAAAAAGATACTTTATTAGTTTATTAGTCTTTCTGTGACCCGGAGAGAAAAGTTCAAACAAATAATTTTACATTGTTCACTTATTTGATTCGTCTGCCACCTGAGCCAGGGTGTTTTTGTCCCTTTTAACGAACCGAGACAAAATTAAATTATCGATTTCATACATACACCATACGCACGTAAAATAATAAAAGCACGCAGAGCTCCTCTCTGGGGATTGTCTGGATGTCGTGGACTAATTTGCATTTACGTCTATGTCTGTATCTATGCTCGCCGAATGACAAGTGACTCTTGCGTTAATTAAAGGTAAATAATTAATGATTCGTCAATCAATTCGTCAGCAATTGACATCAGCACGTGGTGGTCGCGAGTCAGAATGCAACACGCCCGCCGTTGTCTCTCTGTGTATCCTATACTTTTGTACTTGAACATGCGAGGCGATATAATCGCGATATTCGATCCGAAACAAATGAATAACGCATAGGATGAGGTGTGTATGGCAAAATGTTGATTGGATGCGTGAGGCGTTTGTTTGCTCGGTGTGTGGTTTACCTCTAACACGGCGTGCGGGATTTGCCATAGTTCCGAGTTGGCTAATGGCATATTACAGTCGACGGCGGCGGCCACAAGAAGACATTCACTCGCTGAAGCACCGAGATCCGCACTGGGCACGCTCGGGGGCAGACACTCGAGACGTTTCGCGTCTGCGTCGGCGATCGCAACTGCGAGCGCGATGAGTTTTTCACTTGTGGAGGCGAATTGTCATCCTTGTCATCATGACGGATGATTCAAAGATGGCGGTCGATGCGCGCGCGCTGTCAAATGTCAGACCAAACAACATGCAAGTATAATCGGTTGCCTAGGAAAAAATTAACAAAAATTTAAACATTATCTATAAAAAATAAACTTAAAAACACTTTAATACCAATACATATAATATTTTTAATAAATTAAACAAGAAAGCATTAATTTTTACATTGTTTCAGCTTGCAGGTTTAAAAACGAGTCGATATGACACTTGTAGCATTCTTTACTGGCGATGACGCCCGACGTTTACCGAATATACAGCGTGCCAATGGCGGCGCATACTTCCGTCGTCAGTTGCGACCCGCACACGCCGCACGCAGCTCGCTACACCACCACTACAAGCAATCTACACACCAACCTTGCTCGTTCTACGTAGCGGCGCGTCATCAGCAAACTGAGCAAGTCGCTGCATGCTCAGAGCGCTGCGGGTGTGTGCGGTGTCGGTGTGCGTACGTGTAGCCAATTCGCGCGGTAGTGTGCGGCGTCAGCACGCTATCTATTCCTAGGCGGTGTCACTATTCTGATTGTTTTTACGTTTTTAAGAGCGTAGTTGTTGGAACAGTGAAGTTTTCCAGTAGTGCGCGTGATTTCTTCGATTATTATGAACGAAATTAGTGTGTATCCATCCGCCATGGAACGAGGTAAGTTTCGGAAGGCCATTAAAAGCCAAGCGGCATATGGGCATGTAGATATTGTAATTAGGTTGTAGTCGACTAGTGCAGCAAAGCATCTGCTTTGAATTGCAGTAAAACTAAAGAAAATAATTTTTATGTTTATATCTAGTAGGCTTATATCTTTGTTTATTTTAAAACCGGCCGTTATCTTTGAACAAAGTCGTTTGCATCCGTTATAATCACTTGTTGCGCATGTCTGAAAATATTTCTGTTCAAGTAGGAATAATTTTAAAATACAATCACTATATTGAATGTTTATTAAGTCCACAAATCGCTGTGTAAGCAATAAAGTAAAAGTATTCCATGCACAAGTGCGACTTCATTGATGTACGCTATACGCATGCGCGCCGTGACCGCAGATTTGAATCCATCTTTACTGCGCGCGTCAAAAACAAAAGTTGTTTATTCCCCTGGTGTTAACTTCGAATATTAAATTACAGGATTAGAAAGAAGAAAACGTAGAATATCCGAAGAAGAAACGATCGGGCAAACGCTCGAGTCGAAACGTCCGCGTGTCAGCGTCTATTTCCGCTTGGAGTCGGAGAGTTCCCTGGACTCACAAGACGACACCGAGAGCGTGTACAGCATACAGGATAAAGAAACTGGTAGGACACATAATTTCACACACCTCTCGATCGTCCGCAGCCAACATTGCACACACGTTGACGCGAGAAGATTTCAAGAGGCGATTTTCACGCATAGGTTATATTTTATTATAGCCCTTCGTATAGTGGGGGATAGCAGATGTGAGGCATCAAATCAAACAGGAAGCACCTGTTTTCTTAAACCTTCCATCGAACCTTCCAAGAATTCCTCCCTCTCAAGCCCTTTTAAGCGGATTATAGTAGTATGATTCATGCGGTTTTTCAGAACTTATCTGAACATGAACGAACATGTTTGAATTTTCAATATTGCGCAATATTTTATTAAATTTTTTTATTGTACGTGCTTTCTACCGCAATTCAATTAACATGAAACTCAGCATCCACTTCCATTGTGTGTCACATGAACTTGATTGTCTGGACTTGAGTAGAACAAAAAAACAAGTGAATTAACATGACGGAAAGTAAAGTGCAAAAGGTTGACGTATGTAGGCATCATAGGGAACTCTTTGTTGTTAAAAGTAGCAATACTTTCTTATGAAGAATGTTTATGTTTGGTAATCCAATCAAAATGTGAACTGGTTCGCATTGGATGGTAAGACTTTTACAATTTTTCTTTACTTATACGTCAAAAGTCCAGGTAAACACGCACAGGTTTCTGTTTCGTTTTGATAATAACTTAATATTTGTTTTGATAATGGCAGAAATGTTGGCAATGGCAAAAGACGAAGAAGACGTTCAAAGGTTTTCCACTATGTATTGGTTGTTATAAGGTGCGTAAAATTTCAGATGCGAAACAAAATTTGCTTCAAAATTAACTTACATCATTGCAAAATAAATATCTAGTGAATTTTTATTAAAAATTTACAAAGAAATCTACTAGATATTTATTTTTTTAATGAAATTATATTCATGTAAATCACATGGGTGAGTTGTGGGACTCACACGTTTAACAATTGCACATCCTGTATTTTATTCACCGTTTACAACCATTACATATTCGTTCTGTATGCGACAACATTAATCAAAACTTAGCTTCAGCGTCTCAAGACTTTGTGTTTCGATCACAAGTTTTTGCGACTTGCCCAATCATCTGCCTCTCCGTCCATTTGCACTTAATGCAGCACTTGCTGATGTGTATAAACACCTCGTCCGGAACACTTTGCACTCAACACTTTTATACTGTATTGTAGGTGCGGAAAACTTTCTTCCCACCCAGACCTAAGCCGTCGCGTCAAGCTGGACACGCTGCAGAGTTGCCTCAAGGAGCTGAAGGACAAACCGACTAGCAACACACACGAACCAGGCACGACCAACTCACGCATCCCCAACTTGAATTTTGAGGACATTGTCGTCCCGCAGAAACATCTCAAGTCGACGCGTGATGTCGGCTCGACGAGGATTCATGATGTGAGCGACTCGGATGATATCTTCGACGAGGATGAGCGCGCTGAATCGCGGCGGAAAAAGCGCTGCAAGATCGATACCGTGGACGAAACAAGTAAGAATAATTTAATCCCCATCGAGCCCGAGTGCAGCAGTAGTCAGGTCAGCGGTATCGCTGTGAAGATGTCATCCAGTCAAGAATTGACCGATAGCCAGGCGAGTCAAGCTAGTATTTCGTGCGCGGAGAGCGAGCCGCTGGTGTTGAACGCGAGTAATTTAAAGCGTCACACCGAGGAGGCGGCGGCGGCATTCGATCGGGAATTCGAACAGCGCGCAACTCGCGATGATATGTGCATCATGTGTATGACCGCGCCGAAGAACGGCATTTTTCTGCACGGCAGCATCGGGCACATGTGTTGCTGCTATAAATGCGCGATGCGCGTCTGGAGGAATTGCAAGCGGTGTCCGGTGTGCAACTGCAAGGTTAAGAATGTCGTCAAACTTTTTACGAGTTGAATCGAGTTGAATTTTTGGGGGTAAAACTATTTTTAGTTAGTGTTTAATAGGTGTACATACAAGAAACAATTGAAAAAGTTATTTATTTTCGTTTGTAAATGTAAATGCAACGATTTCGTAGTTTGTACATTCTAAGGAACTTCATTTATATATACAGGACTTTGAATTGTTAATTTTAAAAATTAGCAAGCGACGGAAAGCTAAGTCACAATCACTCTAGTTAATTTCAAATAGTTCTGATTACATCTGACAGTAATTAGTTATTTTATTTGCTTTGATGAAAGCTTTGTAGTTTTGTCGTCTAAATATCAAGTTTAGAGTTGATCAATAACTGCAGTTTTCTAAGATTCGAAGGGAATTTGTGTTCATTTTCTGGATATTCGAATTATTTTATGCTTTTTATTTGTTAACACTTTGTTTCGAAACATTTTAATTTCGCTTGTGAATTTATAATACTGATTTTCGAAAAGATACTTCAACTAAAAATGCAGATTCAAAGAGAATTAATAAATGGTAAGAAAGAAGTCAGTTAAAAAAGATAAACGAAAGAAAAAGGTGCAATTTAATATATTTTTCGTAAAAATAAACATAATTCTTAGGTTCACACAAATTTCGACGCATTTTGTAAATATTTATCCAGTAGATTTTCAAATATTCATCCTAGTCCATTCATTGCACATTAAATTAACATTTTTGTTGTGATTGTATTACGAGGAACATGTTTAGCCACGTGGTAGGAAAGTAGAAAAATGTGAAATTTTCTTGACGTGCGGGTTGCCTATAATACTTTACAAATATTCTTCACATTTCATTGCAATATTTTAAAATATTTTGAAATAATTAACAATTTATATTAAATTATGTAATTTCAAGTCACAAAATTCTGAAAAACGTATTAAATTACGCGTGCATATTTAAATTTGCTCAACTGTTCAAATTATTCCAATTATTTTGTTACACCAAATAATTTTGTGACTTGAAACTATTAAATTAATATTTGCCCATCAAAAATGCAAATCAAATTAATTAACGCGTTGTTTAGAATTAATTGCATTAATTAGTTCAATGTCCCGAAGAACACGCGCAATTATTACGCTCAAACGATGCTCAAACACGAAAAATCGAGCTAAAAATCGAATGTGTTTGAATTTTAACCACTGATTTGTATTAATTGCTCGCGTAACCTGTTGTATAATATGTTGTGGTAATTAAATCATAGGTGCATGAACGCGCATCGAAATATTTCAAGTTTAGGACTGCGAATGTTAATTTTATATGGAGTTATTGAATTACCGAGAGCATAGAGAGTACTTGTGCACATGAAATATCGATTTCCTCTCGGTTTTATTCACGATGATGTACACGTGTCCGCCTGCTTGCGCGAAACAATGGCAATCGAATGGGATAATGCAAACAAAATGGCGCATGTCGGCAGCCATTCCATTCATTCATCCATCCGCTTTGCGTTTAATTAATGAAATTAATCCTCCGCGCAGTCGAGCACAACACTCGTGATATACGCACGTAATCAAACACATTTGCATACACAATCCCTTTTCGGGTTGGGTTTTAGCATCCAATACGTGAATTCACGTTTCAATCCCCTTGACTTGTTTTAACAAACTACTATTAGATCAAGTCAACGTCAGAGAAAAACATCGGTTGTTTACTGGTTGCTAGGCAACGGTTTGCGATGCTTTTGTTTTTTCTATTTGGAAGTAATAATTTTTTGGTAAGTCGTGTAGCATTGGTTGTATTTGCAGTTGCGGCCGAGTGGATGACTATGACTCACGTCCTTCGCAAACTCGCCGGCCGCCGACGATGGGAAGACCGACACGCCGACAACCAACTCCCTCGGCACGTAAGGCCTACGTTGCGTATCCCCTAGCTCTCAACAAAGAAACAAACTATGGAAATCAAGTGTGAGGGAAAGAGTAAGTATGTCTGAAAGTCTGCACGAGCTGCGTACGCGTGGCACGTATGCCAGCCGAGCGGCGAACGAACCGCACCGAGCGGGGGTTACGTTCAGCCTGCTGGTTGCGCGAGTCGTGCACACTCGCACAGTCAGTCGTTCGCCGTCAACTAACGCACACGGAATATATCCGCAGTTAACTCACTCTTCTCACAAGACTTACCTCACACACACACAAGCCAACCACTAAGCCGGCATTCCATTTCGTGAGGATTCATTTGTTTTAAACCAAACAAACACAACAAATTCAAGGTACGTCCGCCATTTTAAAATTCAAAACCTTAGTAAATCTTTTATATTTTTATTAAATGTGTATTTAAATATTTTGAAACAATGTTTGCATGATGTAAACTGTAAAGGATGGTACCATCCGGTTTTTTCGAACGATTGCATATGGGGTGCGGCACTTAATACAACCTATATTTAAATACGCGCATTCATGGTGCACTAAAAATATTTCTTTTTGATTATCTCCGGAGAGGCGACGCAGTTGCAGTTGCCCTCAAACTGCAGTGCTTGCAGCAGCACCAGCAGCTGGGCAAAATAAAATCAATAACTTTTGTTTATTTTGCACGCCGGTCGTGAAATTCATAGGAATGTCAAGTTGAGGGGCAATCGCTGCGCCCACATTATTTCTAGAAAGAAAAGGATACAATCCCGTTATTGTTGCTTCTTTATCAATGAATCGCATTTAATTAATTGCTAAAATATTGCGCATCAAGCAAAAACGCACGAAAAGCACAACAGGAAACGGAAACATGAAGCATGCACAGGTGCTGCATATAAATTAGTGCATTGTGTGACCAACACTTGACTCAAGAGCTTCTTTGAGTTAAGTTCAAGTTGATATAAAATTTAATTCAAACAAAAATATTTTTTCAAATTAAAATAGTAGGAGAACAATGAAACATTGCGAATCTTTTGAATGAGTTTTTGCCTGAGAATCGTGCAACCTAGATTTGACAATGTGACGCACAAAATCGGCGAGGTTTCGGTGCGTGAGTTTCAAATTGTTTGCCCACATTGTCATCAAATGAATGAAAATATTTTTTGTTGAGTTGAAAATGTGTTTATGACATTCCTGAATGATAATGTGAGGCATCCTCTAGTCGGGATCGCTTACAACAGTAGTGTTTTGTTACAGTTACAGCTACATCAAAACAATGCATCAGACTTAACTTAAGTGATATCACCGTTTATCGTTGCTTCTGTGTGGGTACATACTGCGTAAAATAAAATATACCAAGCTTATGAGCTTAAATTTTAAATTGTATTTTTTGATGTGTTACTGTTTGCAAAATTTTGTTACCAAGTGCAACATAGGGAATGAAATTAGGCGTGTCTCGAGTGGAGTCAAGGAGCAGACAAAGTCAAAGTCACACATGTGCATAGGGGGGGAAAGGGTGTCTCGTGAATATCTACGTATCGTATGCGACGTGTCAACAGTCTCAATTGCCGTTTCGTGTTTTTACACTTTGCGAAAACAGCAAGAGCCAATCGCATTCTTCTTTGCTTTACGCAGTTTACACGAAACTCACGCGCTGGAATTTGCTACTTTGCAGTCGACCGAAAACCAGACATAACACACAAATACTTAGATATATTGAGTAGTACTAAAAGAGTACTACATGAGTACTACAAGCTATAAAAAGAAATAGTAAGTGTTGCAGTATCCAAGAATGTATCAGAAATCTCCGTGAAAAACTGTTTTTCTCTGCGTGCAAGTCACAGTATCACTGTCCGGGAATGTGCATGAGTTGTTTGAGAGGGCCGGCAGAGTACGAATGACTCATGGAAATGTTTTCTGGGGCCATGGAGTGCGTTCGGGAACTGAGACGATAAAGCCATCAACCAGATATAATACGGACTGTCTAGTCGCTATTTATCTATATTTAATTCCTGTAAACAAATAAATTCTATTAACGATTTATTCACTTGTCGTGTGATGTGTGAGCTATTGCGCATGCGTGCACTTAAGATGCATGCACGTGTTGCAGATGACTTAGGTGGGCGGGGCTAAAATATATCTGCAGGCTTGAATACCTTCATAAAACATTCAATTTTGTTTCTACCTGTGGTATCACGCGAAGTTAATATGAATAAAGTGTCGTGCATGAACCTGTAGACCATGCGATTATATACTCGTACGTGTGATTCGTGGGCGTTGCCATCGAGTTTACGGTGCGTTAACATGATGTATTGTAGTGTATTTTTTGTAAATTTTATTTCAATAACATATTTATTGCTTAGTTCAACCAAAAATTGTATTATTTCAATGATTGATTGATTGATTACAATGCAAAAATGAAATTGTTTTGCTGCTGGCACTGCCAACAATTGAACTTTCCAGCATTGTTTCGTGATACAAATGCAAAACACTCGTGTTCTAATTAATAATGCAGATTAATTAAAAATTGCGAATTTGATTGCGTATAGACTAAGCAATTTAACGTGTTTACCATTCGCGTTGAATCAGTTGAACTTGTTTGATTGTGATTCATCGTGACGTGAAGAAGTTTCAACCACAAAATGAATAAAAGAAGCGATGCTTAATTATCGAGACAAACGAAGCGTTAATTCGGCGTTTATTGAAGCAGAGGAAACGCAAGCAGAAGAGGCAAATACCAAGAGACTAGTTTAGAATTTAACGTGGTGGTTAACTATGTAAGCGTATGCATGGAGGTAATTAATGAAATAATAAATTTTTATAAAAAACGTTTTAAATGTAAATTTTTGAATTTTTTGTTTTTTATTTGGTAGAAACATGAATAGTTCAAATTGTGTGTAACTTCGCTCACGTAGTAGGTACATGTTGATTATACGCTTCCATAAAAATGTTAATTGCATGCTTTTTTCGTAAACATTTGAGTGTGACTCATTGCAATCGATAATAATGACAAAAAAGTGTGAAACATTTTTATCGAATTATTAATATTAATCCATCTTAACAACAAGTTTTACCTTTTATAGCATTACATTTCTCTTTTACTTTCGTGAAAATATCGGAGCAATATGACAGCGTAAATCAGATCAAATAATCAAATAAATCAGAACATTGATTCGCTACTCTTGTTATATTTTTATGATTAAGACCATGTGGCATGAGTGAATCAATTAGAAATGTGATTATATCGTTGGAACATGTAACAATACTAAGTTGGTTTGAGTTGACGTAAGTAGTCGGTGTAACAGAAAAATATTTGACGAACATATGGTCGACTTCGTCTCATGGTATGGTTTCGATTCGACGCGATTTGAAATTCATTCGCATTACGCATTATGCATTCGTTTACCTTCGCACGGACGTCGATGGCAATATCGGACGATCGGTGATTGCCCTTAAATGGCATTAGCAAACGGCCCCGGGACCACTGCATGCGAGAGACGATGTGAAGTTCTTTTAAAACATCAATTTCTACGATATAGTAACAAATATATACAATATATTTGCATATTTTAAAAAACAACGAGTGCATCACCATGTTGTACCATCACCATCCTGATTCAATCAACTTTCACTAATTTAATTTCATTCCGCGACATGAGCTGCTGCTGGTAGACCAGTAAAGTTGTTATATTTCATACGGTCATGCGATGATGCGACGCACTCGTTTTTACTTTTATCAGAGTTGGTTTTTTATTTTTATTCTCACATGAGTTTGGATTTTACGTTTACAGTTACCGTTAATCGTGACTAATATTAAACCAGCCATATAAATATCAATACGAACACTGATTTAAAAATTAAGTTAATATTTTTTCTATTTACTTTGAAATTTAATAAATACATATATGATCACCTGATATATTAGATGAATCACCATTGAAGTACCTACGGGTGCATTAGTCAGATTGATGTCAATCTGTATCGATGATAAAAATATCATGTTTATTTATCATTGATCTCTTATTTTCATAAATCTGATGCAAAATATTTTTTTGTAATTGTACGGATGTGTAGCTTTTAAAATCTCGATTTTTATACTATAAAACATTCTGTTTGTACGATTAAGAACGATTCAACATGGAGGAAGTCATTGAACCGACTTTAACACACAACTCGTTGTCGACGGTCGCCGGCGATGCACAAATACTCTATAATGCATTAGCATTGCAAGCTAGTCGGAATTCACTCTTCGTTTATGCATGTGATAGCAATTAATATCGGAATTACATACCATAATTATTTAATTGCGGATATTACACATTAATGCTAGACATACCCCGCCCAACAACATCGTGTAGCGTAATTAAATTGTGTGTAAATTGTCTGTCGACAAATTCAACATGATATTTTTGTTGATGACTAAAATTTTCGGAAATTAAGAGGTCTTGAACTACAATTATAAATAATATCCACGAACCGTTGTAGTTTGCAGTGTTTTATGGTGTTCAAGTCCGATATTTAGTTAGTTGAGTTCGCTAATCGCGGTTTTCTTATCACTTGCGGTTTGTTGTACACAGACGCTTCGGTAATTACGCCCGTTGCGTCGTTTGTTCGCGCGCGCCGTTAGTTTGTTTCGGAAAACTAACGTATGAGTAACTAATTAGTGGCCTAACGGTTCTTTGCATGTATGTAAAACTCAACTCACGCCTTCAATAAGCAAAATATTTTACAATTTTAAACAATATTTGCAATGTTTGGTTTTATTTCCTGCATAAATTTGTTTTGTGGTTGCTTTGGTAGCTGATGATGATCACATCACATCTGCATCAGCGTATTTTTATTCGTTACTTTTCATCTTTCGTATTTTGTTGTGGAAGCAGCACGAAAACAAGTTTTTTACCGCAGGCGCCTTGCACACATGGCTGCTGTGCACATACTCGCCTGACACTTTCGCGCACGTTGCAAACTGCATTCCTTCATTCCCTTGGAAATACTCATTTTAAGATATTTCGAGTTATTTCCATCCAGGGTGCAATAAACGGGAGCAATAACTTGGGTGTTCTTTACTTTCTTTACTTCAAAAGGTTTTAAGCAGACGTTTTATTAATTTTTGTTGGTATTTCGGTGTTTTATAGCAAAGTGTTATTGTTTTGTAGCGGAATGAAAGAGAAACTTTAAAAAGGGAAAAGTACTTGTGAGTAATGTTCATTCAAAGCAGTTTCTTCTTCTCGGCGTGTTTTGAAACTTTTGGCGAGAATTTGCGATTCACATTCTACATTCAGGTTGATGAATGCGTTTGCAGAAAGTTTGCGAACTTTCAGCTGAAAGTTTAATTCCGAGTAGAAACTTTCAAATCGGGATTGCATTTGAAGAAAAGGTTGAGTTCAACATCTCCAACGCATTTGAACTTTGCGATATTATTCTTGAATAATAATATAAAACAGATTCAATTACCACAGGTGTCAGATGTGATTTTAACCTGTTAACAATTTTAATTGGATTGATGAGTTATTTAAGTTATTTAGCAAGCTACAATTAAATTCTGAGTATATTTTTAGATATTTCTAATGTCCACGCATTAATTTGTATTTTTTCGTTGTTTAATTAACCTCTATAATTAAATAAAGAACAAAACAATAGAGTTGGGTGGTTTACGCGTTCGCCTGATGCTAAACTCGGCGCCCACGAAGAGTAACTAACGCGCGCGAGCGTCCGGAACTTTGAAACTGTAAAACTTAAACCTAATTAGCGTCCGTGGTCATCAGACCAATCTATTATTACCTAATTAAGATACCACAAGCGCCATCCACGAATTTCAACTCTGCAACATTGTGATTGTAACGAACGCACCAAAATATTTACCTTATCAATAATTTATGAAACAAAGCTGATTGTGTTTACAAAATGATTAATTCGGGGCCATGTGACAAATAATAATGAGTGATTAATCAAAATTTACGCCTGAATCATTCCTATTCTCATATATTTTTTGTGTGTGAATTGCACTCGATGCGAAATTATGCTCATCTTGTGATAATGTTGTTTGCAGATGTCTTGCCCAGCGCCGTCCTTGAAAGATTTGCCACGCGTCGCCGTTGATTTCAAGACTGAACTGGAGGGTTTCAAGACCGACAATTTGAAGAACGCAGACACCATGGAGAAAATTATTCTTCCATCTGCCGAAGGTAAATATTTCACAATCAAAAATCTAATTTAAAATTATTTTTAAAAATTTTGTACGTGGGAGTCAATCAAATTAATTTCTTGCAAATTGGTGAAATTTATGTCTTTGATTCCTACGAAATTATATTCAGATGTAGGACGAATCGTTAAATCTTAAACAATTCAAATTGTAAATATGATTTCTGATTAACACATCAACTTTTCTTCAAGCGTTGTTCCAAGCAATTGAATTTCTAATTATCTTTGTGTAGTTATTACTGCGCTTGGATTCTTCAATAGGTATTAAAGTTATGATATTACGAAACATTTAACCGCCGTTTATTGTGTTTGTAACACATGCAGCGAATTGATTAATGTTTAAATGTTTAAATGTTTCTTCTTGTGTAATCATTTACCTGCTACTGTAGAATAAAATATTAAATTGAGTTTGAGTAGAAATCTTGAAAATCTAGAAAAGTGTATCGAGGTGTAAATTAGTTCAGCAGACAAAAAAGGATCGGAAGAAATAATCGCAACTAACGTAATGAAAAGTAGAGCATGTTGAATTTGCATAGAACGCGAGACGGATCTCTTTGCTTCTCGAACAAGTGCAGGAAAATATTATGCTAAGTTCAATCTATGAATTATGCTAATCTTTACGTTGATTAGAATTTATTGCAAATAATCTTATTCTATTTGTAATTTGTGTATTTTGTGTTTTTCTTTTTTCTTTCTTATGTGTTTGTGTATTTAGATGTAGAACAGGAGCGTACACACAATGCGCTCATTGCTGGCGTGGAAAACTTCAAACCATCCTCGTTAAAACGCACCGACACAAAAGAGAAGATTGTATTGCCCAATGCCCAAGGTAGTTCTAGGAGTATAAACTCATTGGGCGCGCTAATCAAAATGCAAAACATCAATTTATTAATTTTTTAAACCCAAAAAATAACGATTTACCTAATCATTTAAATGATTAACCCTCCATAACAAATAAACTGCAATAATCAGGTGTGGAGTGATGTGTTGTGTGAGGTTGTTACTTTCACTCCATGGCTGCATCATTAAACTTTTAACAATTTATAATGAACTTGGATATTTACCACATCATTTACTTTTACTATGTGTGTAATGACAGCATTTTCTCAAATTATGCTCGGTGTATACTCTACATAGTTGTATGAGAAAGGAAAGTATTTAAATTTAATGATGAAATGTAATGAAACGAAAATTACTAGACTTATGAGAGGCGCAGACTAACGATGCGATTGTAGGCACACCGAAACGTTAATGGTGGCTTGTGCGTGCATTGTCTCGCCGGCGAAATGCTTTTACTTTACTCTCCACTAACAATGAACAATGTCATCCGGACTGGTTGAGTCATGAACTGTTAAATTCGAAACTGCCAGGTTGCGTACTTAATAGCTCATGAAAGTTTATCATCCACAGAATATAAATATAAATTTGCATGGGAATTTATTTTCATCTAACAATCGATATTTTAATATTAAACCGATTAAAAGTATAAAATTGTGTGTCTACACTTGAAATTTAATTATTTACGCATAAATTAATGTGTTTTTCATTATTTTTAGATGTTGCCGCTGAGAAGAAAGAGAAAGCGATGATTGACAGCATCGAGACCTTTGATGCAACCAAGTTGAAGCACACCGAAACGCAGGAGAAGAACCCTCTGCCCGACAAAGAAGGTTTGTACTTGTATACTGCATTTTGGTGTGTTTTAATCTCGCTTGATATGCTTTGAATTTCTTTGAGTTTATTAATTCGCATGATTATTCATGTGTGTTCTTTATTTTTTCTATGCATTTGCCACCGTTTGCTTGCCAATCAAATGCACTCGACAAAATGCGCGCGCTGCATGATTCGAACGCTGTAAATATAAACGACAACAGTGTTGGAGCATGAAAAAACCCACCAGAACCTGATAAACGGTGTGGAGCACTTCGATAAGTCCACGATGCGACATGCTGAGACGCAGGAAAAAGTCATCCTGCCTGATCCTCAAGGTATTTATGTATGGCATGCGCACAAAGAGCTTTAGCCAATATAATATAACTTATTTTATTGATTTAGTGCAAAATAAGTGTGAAAATGTCTAGATTTTGACTGTGAATGTGTTTCTAGTGATCAAACAAGAGCAAAGAGAACAAAAGTTGATCTCTGGCATTGAAAACTTCGACACCAACCAGCTGAAGCACACCGAAACTCAGGAGAAGAACACATTGCCGACGAAAGAAGTCATCGACCAAGAGAAGACCGCCTAAGTCATTCCACACGTCTATTTCTCTCTAATTTTCAATACTTGCATTTATTATTAATCCAAATCGGTGGAAATGTAAAGATGTAGACCGACTACATATACAGGGGAAATCATTGAAAAATATGTAAACGAATCAACGAATGTCCAAAATCAAACAATCCAGGAGTCAACTAACGAAAACATATGACAACGCTCATTTAAAACAATTAGAATTACCATTCATCATTATTTAAAACTAAAATTTAGGGATTTTAAGGAGGATGAGATTTTGATACTAGAAATTTTGCATTTTATAGAAATCTACCAACTTTTTGATACTTTGAGATAACAAAATGCCAATGAATTTTCTTAGAAAACATTGCTTTACACTTTTGATATGAATATAACTTGATATCTTAAATGTCGATAAATGCGTATTTGTAGTGTCGCGCTGATGTCATTTAATTTGAAATTTACTTTAACTCTCTTATCCAGTATTAGCAATGTATGGATGTTTTACGTTTGTCAACACTATCCTCGTCTAATCTTTACCGTGCGATTACTTTCTTATTTACTTAATCGGCAATAAATGCTTATCTAACTGCTTGGTCTGATTCGTTTTGAGTTTTGCGCTTCGGATGTTTGTTTGTTCAGATTATTTTCAGTGTTTCAGTGCACTTCATTTTTATATACATAGTTTGTACTTATTTTAAGAAATCTATGCGTTTATTAGCTATTATACTATGAAATAACATGTTTATTGAATTATTTAATGAGTTTGCATGAATACGGTGCTTAAAATAAACGTATCAAAGCGTAAAACTCCTGTTTTAATTAGTTATAAGTCAGTTTTAGTATAATTTTCTCTGTTAGAATTAAAACTAATGCGAAACTAAAACGCAATATTGGTTGCCTATGTTAACTCCCTGCACACAAAATTATTTGTGGAAAGAAGTATTGGGGGCGCATGCGCGAATACAAAACTTATCAAACTTTGAATCCTCTTCGCTGCGGCGAGTAAAAAATTCTCATTCGCGAAGAGCACGTGCGCGTTGTTTTCGTGCACAATTCTCGCGAAACGTGCTCACCACGTTGCACGTTCATCAGGGGCGCGGGCGCCTTAGTAATTACTGTGATTATTAACACCTACAAGTAATTTGGTTTCGACTACGAGATGGCTCCATTCACACGCAAGGGAAGAAATCCTGGCCCTGTGGATGAGTGGCTGGAGACGCTGGGATACTACAGAAAAAACGTTGCGTACGACGAAACGTGTTTGTTTAGATCTATCAGCGAGCAAGTAAGTCTCATTCACGTTAAATAAAGTCTTCAATATTGTTATATATTATAGTTCTTTCTTTGTTTTATTACTTTTGTCATGACTGTAGTTTAACGGTCAGTTTGACTTTTAACGGACTAACTGAACTAACCCGGTATGATTTTCAGTTGTTTTCTAGTCAATTATTTCACGAAAAGATAAGAAAGGAGTGCATTGCGTACGGTAGAGCTCATCACAATGAATTTACGAAGTATATTTCTGGTAAAGAGGATTGGGAAGTGAGAATGAATCGACTTGAGAAACATATGGCTATTTGTGGGCGGGTCGAAATTAGTTTGATTTCAAAAACTTACAAGTAAGTTTAAATAAATATTTTAAATTCAATTAGTATTAATAATTGATTATTTCAATGCTTTTATTAGTAAAGGAATTGTACTTTTTGATGGTGTTAACTTGCAAATCAAAGAGTTGACTGGAAATGAGTTTGAAGAGAACTTATTTATTTGTCATATGGGTGAGGATCATTATGATGCTGTGTACTATAAATCTTATATTCAGGATGCTGGATTTTGTCAATGTTAGTATTGATTTTTTGAAATTAGTAATAATTAATTAATTCTTATTGATTTTTAATGTTTATATAGCAATTGTCTACAATGTACTATATGAAAACGTCTTCCACATCCCCAAAATAGTCGAAATTGTTGAGACAATGTTGTATCACAAACCAATGCTTACCTACAACGGGAAAGGATACACCGAAGATGTGAACGGGAATAAAGAACGCTGTTCCAAACGAGATTACTACAGGCAAAACGAAAATGTGCTCAGATATGACGGTACAATTGAATTTAAAAAGTGCCTAGGTGCAGATAATAAAGAACAACAGTTGAATGACTATGAGTACATGCTCAAAACAAATCTCGCGCCTTTTCCGTTTAAAGTGGCTAAAGCGTTGGATCCTTCGATTTACAGGAACATTGAGTATGATACCTGGACAGAGATGCGCAAAGGTATGTTTTAAATTAAAGTTAATTACGTGTTTTGTTAAAGTAATAAAGTGTTTATGTTTTGCGTTTAAATTATTTTTACGAATGTTAAAGTTGTTTTAATAGAAATGCGACTTGGAGATTGGTATTACGGTGATAACAATCTTATTGAAGGATCAGGATGTATTCTGAACGAACACGGTAGTGAAAATCATTGTTATATCCAAGAAATTTTAAAGAACGAAAACGCAGCTATTGTTTTCCTTACTAAAATGGGTGAGAAACGACGTGTGAGGTTAAGTGATCTTCGACCGGAAGTTGACGCCAAGCCGTGGCCGTTACCATACAGGTCAGCCATCTGTAATTTATTGTTTTATGGAATTTTTAATGTTTACCTGTATTTAGATTCTCTAAGCATCTTGTAATCTCTATACCGAAGTTGGAATTGCCTGAAAGGAAAGGTTTTCGTAAACGACGCGAGAAAAAACGAACGATTTCGAAGTGTAGCAGTACTTCGGAGGTTGCCATTGAAGTGTCCATATCTGATCAGAGTAATAATAATCTGAATGTGCATACTTTTGAAGGAGCGCCTCTGGTAACTCATTTTTTTTTATATTTTGCTACTTTGGGCTTTAATATTGTGCGTTTCATTCCTAGCATCAACAAATGCAACCACCACAACAACTTCTTACGCCAAAATTGGAGATTGCCGAAGCTCCAGTATCAATGCCATTGGTTGAAAATTCACCAGCACCGCCTCCGGAAACAAACCAGGTGACGTATGAAAATGGATGGCAACGAAACGAAACGATTGTATGGCCCCCAACGCCACCTGTCACTCAAAATGTCTTCACTTACAATACAATGGTGCCAACATCACCGGATGTCTATCATCATGGTAAGTATAACATTTTTTAAGTTTTTTTTTAAATTTACTTAAATTTTAAATTATTCCAAAGACCACCAAGGTACTTATTATCCAAATGAATACCAAGCATATAACATCTGGCCAAATGGTGAATTCCTGCCGCCATTACCTACACAAAACCAAATTGCGCAAAGTCCCCAAACTGAGATCCCTATCACCCCAGATGGTTTTAGCTATGTCTTCAGTGATGGCAGCAACTACTCTCCGAATTATTATCCGAACAATCGAGGATATCAAACTGCTTTGAATAGTCCACAGGTAAAGAGTATAATCTATGCTTATAAAATATATTTTATTTCAGGCTAATATAGCATGTTTTCTTATTACAGCTTGAAATTTTCCATCCACAACCAGTTTATCAGTCCACAATCGGCACGCCGGTGATAATCGCTCCAACAACCACCGAGATTATACCGACGCCATCGCCGCTTCCTCACGTATCACACGTGACCATGTACAGCCCTGCGATTGAAATGCCTTGCTCTTATTATCCTCCACCAAGTCCGTTCATGTTTCCGCCTACGCCTACACAACCCACCTGGTATCAAGCACCGCCTGTAAATTCACAAGGTTTTATTTTTCCCACTATCAATGTAACGCCAACATCGCCTGCCCCCGTGGCGCAATAATAGCAATTTAAAATTTATAGGATCTCAACATAACCAACCTTTGGTTACCTGATCTCAATTTACGTGCAAGTAGGTTTAAGTAGATAAAATTGATGGTTAAAGTTAATATTTCATTATTAGTTAATTGTTGTTAAATACTTGTTGATTATCTGAAGAGATTTAATGGGTTATGCGTTGTCATTAGTCGGATTGTCTCCACAAGCAGCTGTTTTATACTTGCGATCGCACTTTTGACATCATGTAATATGTTTTCATAGTTAATTCTTGCAAATATTTATTTATCCTTAGATTTATTTAGAATTCCATATTTATTTCATTTAAACTGTTCGAATTTCTACTTGAGTTGGATATTAATTGTCGTATCGAATGTACTTTTTTGTTTGGCTGACACTCAAAAGCCAGTTATTATTATTACTTTTTATATTGTTGAACTATTGCCAAAGAATTAACTAGATGAATAATAAATAATTGACTACTAAACATTGGTATATGCAGTAAAATTAAAATATTCTAGTACTGCAAATGTATACGGCGCGATGGGCTTATCAGTATTTGTGTATAAACAACTTTCTGGAGTGATGCCTAGCACACACATACTTAGCGGCATTTCTGCGTGCTATTCTTGCGGTACCTGTTGCGCGCCGGTTTTTTAGAGGTGGCTAGCGCGTTGTTTACGTTCTTACTTCTTACATTCCAGTCTTATCGCCGGTGGGTAGGCGAGCGCATCTCGCCGAACGCGACTTTCCTTGCCGTTTTTAATTTCGGGAATTGTGTACATATATTCAATCAAAAATCGGTGTTATCTACTGAGTGATGTGATGGTGTTCATTATGTGTCCTCCTATTCAGATGACCAACAAGTTTAATTACATTACCCGAAATAAAATCACAGGTAATCTTTGTTTAGTATTTTGTTTTTTTTCTTGCCGACGGATCCATATTTCGTGTCACCATATTCGGTACTTGACTATAACGTGACGGACATTTGCCGACGGACAACTCGGAGATCGGGTAGTTGCAAACGATCGTTTTCACGCATTATTTAATATTTTGATTATCGTGAAAAAAGAGCAAAACCGAGTCGAAAACTAATTTAAATGTCGTGCAAAAACATTCTTCATAAACAGTATATCTGAAGCAAAGGGACTATTTATATTTATTATTTTCTTTTTAGCAGATATAAATTATATGTTATGAAAATACTAACTAAATTTAATTATTAAAAAAGTTGTTTCTTAGTACATAGTTTTATTCGTATTAAAAATCAACACATTCGATTATTAATATAATGAAGCCTGATTTATAAAGTAACCACAATTTCCGATTGAATGATTTTTAAAATCTGCTTGAAACATATTGAAATTTTTTTTATTTTGCCATGTTTTAACATGTTTTAATTTCGGTGAAATTAGTATACATTAATTTAAATTGTGTTAAAAATATTCGTGAATTGAAGTTTGTATTTATTGATTTCATATTGCAGAATTCAGCATGTAGGTACGTTTGTTTATCATTGAATTGGGTTTAGCTTCAATAATACAAATTTACCTGCGTTTGTATAAAGCAAGTTTATTTTATCTTGTCTGGCGTAAGTCGAATTGTCTCCATATAAGTTTATACTTGCAATCGCACTTTTGACATCATGTAATATGATTTCATGGTTAATTCTTACAAATATTTATTTATTTTTAGATTTATTTAAAATTTCATATTTATTGCAGTTAATCTGGTCGAATTTTTGCTTGATTTATTAATTGTCGTATAGGATGTACTTTTTTGTACTTTTTTACACACGAAGTGTGTAAAGCGTATTTTACATTTTATAAAACATGTTTAAATGTCAGTAAAGTTATATTTACTTTCATTTCAATGTTACAGTGATAGACAAAGCCGGATTTCAAACTCCTAATCTACGAAAAAATTCTCTAGAAAATAAGCCAGTTAAAATTGAAAATCGAAGAGATTAAAAAATAATTTTTAAAAAAATAGGCGAATGAGAGTCAGTTATACATTCACCAACGTACGGTGCCCTGAACATGAGTCACTTCTACCGCTACCCTTGTACGGTGCCCTGAATGCGAGTCACTTCTACGGCTTCCCTCTTTTTAACTAAAAGTCTGTCATTTTGGGATTTAATATGTTTAAACAATTTTTCAGATTAAGACATATTTCAATTACTTTCCTTAAAATATTAAAAATTGTACTGTAACAGGCCTAAATACTTTGTTCCAATGAATGTAGTAAAAATCGAATATTCTAGTGCTGCAAATACGCGATGCGCTTATCAGTATTTGTGTTTAAACAACATTTTTGTGACATTTCTCGAGTGATGCCTAGCACATACTTCGAGGCATTTCTGCGTGCTATTGTGCGGTACCTGCCTGCGCGCGCTGGTTGTTAGAGGTGGCCAGCGCGTTGTTTACGTTTCTTACATTCCAGTCTTATCGCCGGTGGGTACGCGAGCGCATCTCGCCGCGCGCGACGTTCCTTGCCGTTTTAAATTTCGTGAATTGTGTATATATTCAATCAATCGGTGTTATTTAGTGTGTGATGTGATGGTGCACATTATGCGTACTCGCATTCTGATGACCAAAAATTTTAATTACATTAGTAAAATCGCAGGTAATTCATGTTAAGTATTTTGTATTTTATTGACAATGGATCCCGCTTCAATGACACCATACTTTGGTACGGCGACGAATACTTGCCGACGGATAATTCGGAAATCGGGTATTTGCTGAACGGTCGTTTTACCCCTTTATTTAATATTTTCATATTGATTATCGTGAAAAAAGAGCAAAATCAAGTCGAAAACACAATATCGTGCAAACGCAAGAATAGACCAATTTGATTTAATTTAAATCAATTATAAACAGTTGTTAATTAATTGATTTAATGTAATTTTGCAATTTGTAAATTCATATAATTATTGAATAATTGTTTTTAACATAAATGAGAGCTTAGGCTTAGCATGCATTTAATTTAAATATATCTTTAAGATTTGATTAATTATCATATAAAATTAAGATTAATTCGGCACGGAACATGTTCAAACATGTTTTGTTGCAATCGGTTATCTGCTTGTATGTAGTAGTGAGTACACTCTTGTCCGTGTGAGCTCGTCCGGCAACAAGCTCCGCCGTATTTTTATCAGTGCGTTTGTTTCTTGGTAGTTACATAGTTTTATTCGTATTAAATACCGCAACAGTCGAGTATTAAAATAATGAAGCCTAATTTATTGAATGACAATTGATTTATGACTGAATAATTTTTGAAATCTTTTGAAACATATTACATTTATTTTATTATTCCCCGTTTCTTCGTTGCTTCGATCAAATTAGTTATCATTAATTTTAATTGTGTTAAAAATTTTCACTAATATTCGCGAATTGAAGTTTGTATTTATGGATTTCATAGTGTCGAATTTAGCATGTATGTTTGTTTATCATTGTATTGCATTTAGTTTCAATAGTATACGTTTACCTTCGCCTCAACGCAAATTTATTTTGTCTTGTCTGGCAGTCAAAAGTGCACCGCCAATACAAACAACTCACCGACTTGAACTTATTTGTTTTACTATAGTTTGTCTTTCACAAACTGAAACTTTTAGTCGCATTTTTTGACCTTTCGGAATTTAATTTTTCTGTAAGAAATATAATTATTTTATATTTTTATCTGATAGAAAATTTTCCAATCTTTTATAATCAGCATTTCGTCGGTTGCTATCGCTTTTAGTTTAAGAGATATTAATTATCGAAAATCCTCGATAAAAATTATCAGCACCCCCCCTTGGCAATTTTTTCTTATGAATTAAAATTTCATCGGTCAGATTTTGGTTTTAACTAGTCTATCTTATAGAGAATAGTACGTAGAATAGTCTCTGCAATTTGTACCTATTTATCTCTTGTAGTTTACGAGATATTCGCGATTGAATAAAATGGGCAAAAATTGAAAAATGTCACTTTTTAGCACTTTTAGTCGCGTTTTTCGACCTTTCACTGTAGGAAATATAATTATTTTATATTTTTATCTGATAGAGAATTTTCCAGTTTTGGTGTCTGATGAATTCTGCATTAGTATGTTTATAATTCAATTATATATTTCCTTAACACTTACGCGTTACGCATTTGTTTGTATATAGAAAACTTTTTATCGCGTAAACATGCGGTGGAAAACGGGACATATTTTGGGAATACTTCTAAATTTATTGCAAGAAAATTCCGTAACGCAAATTATATTGAAAGTTGTGAGTGTGCGCCCTAGTACTCGTTGCGCTCGGAATTGTAGTTTTATTGTTATAAGACGCGAACGCGGTGTCACAATAAGTTCGGAATAATTTTCCCTGATGCGGAATTTAATTCTGCATCTTCCTGTATCGAAATTTATTGCAAGAAAACTCCGTAACGCGAGTTATATTGAAAGTTTTGTGTGTGCGCACTAGTACTAGTTGCGCTAGGAATTGTAGTTTTTTCAGTGTAACACGCGAACGCGGTGTCACTATAAGATTGAAATAATTTGTCCAGATGCGAAATTTAATTCTGCATCTCCCTGTATAGAATTTTATTGCAAGAAAATTCCGTAACGCAAGTTATATTGAAACTTGTGTGTGTGCGTCGTAGTACTCGTTCCGCTAGGAATTGTAGTTTTTTCAGTATAACACGCGAACGCGGTGTCACCATTAGATTGAAATAATTTGTCCAGATGCGAAATTTAATTCTGAATCTCCTTGTATAGAAATTTATTGCAAAAAAATTCTGTAACGCGAGTTATATTGAAAGTTGTGTGTGTGCGCCATGGTACTCGTTGCGCCGTAATACTCGTTGCGCTAGGAATTGTAGTTTTATTGTTATAAGACGCGAACGCGGTGTCACACACAATTAGATCGGAATAATTTTCCCAGATGCGGAATTTAATTCTGCATCTCCCTGTATAGAAATTTATTGCAAAAAAATTCTGTAACGCGACTTATATTGAAAGTTGTGTATGTGCGCCATGGTACTCGTTGCGCCGTAATACTCGTTGCGCTAGGAATTGTAGTTTTTTTAGCGTAACACGCTAACGCGGTATCTCAATTAGTTTGAAATAATTTTCCCTGATGCGGAATTTAATTCTGTATCTTCCTGTATTAAAAGTTTTTGCAAGAAAATTCCGTGACGTGAGTTATTTTGAATGTTGTGTGTATAAGCACTAGTACTAGTTGCGCTAGGAATTGTAGTTTTTATGTTATAACACGCGAACGCGGTGTCACAATTAAGTTACGGTGTGTGCCGTATTACTCGTTGCGCAAGGACTTGTAGTTTTTTTAGTGTAGCACGCGAACGCGGGGTCACAATAAGTTCGGAATAATTTTCCCAGATGCAGAATTTAATTCTGCATCTTCTGGTATAGAAATTTATTGCAATAAAATTCCGTAACGCGAGTTATATTGAAAGTTGTGTGTGTGCGTTGTAGTACACGTTGCGCTAGGAATTGTAGTTTTTT